ACACACACACACACACACACACACACACACACACACACACACACACACACACGCATGCATGAACGCATCCACGTACACACTCATGCATTTGAGAAGCAGTTTGGCTTACTACCTGTCATGGTGTGAATGAGCTTTCCACTTCAATCCTCAAGTATTTATTGGTTCAGAGATTTTGAAGTACTGCTGAAGGTCCTGTGAGGACAGACATTGGATTCCAGTCCCGGTTCCTGCCTTGGGAAGGAAGATATGCTCTCATGGCACAACCAGTATCTCCAAGTCACACGTGGACACCAAGAGACACAGACCCAACAAAACCAGCAGGTCTGTGATGGGAGTTGTGGTCTCTCAGAAAGGACTCAACCAGGGGCTGGCATGAGGAGGATATAGAGGGCGGAAGGAGAGGGAGATGCTGCTCCTAACACAACTGAAAGGATCCCAGCATCAGAAGTATTCACAGCCTGGATGGTGAGACCAGTGTGCTCGGCTGTTAAGAATAAACGGGATGAGGTCCAGAGCGGCTGGGAGCCCAGTTGTGGAGGTTAATGGCGCTGACCTTTCCCATTTGTCAACAGACAAACAATAAAAGGTATCCGGGACGATGAGTGGTATTGCTAAAATGGCTTCTGGAAGCCCAGCTGGCAACAGCAGTTGGAGTTGAGTGAAGAGGTATTTTAAGTATTGAGCAAGGCAATGAATCCAAAAGACTTCAAGGTCCTTCCAAGCTTAGAGTTTATGACTCAAATACTGGTGAAGAAAAAAAAAGTCAGGGCAGCGGGAATTAGGTTAGAAAATTTCTGCAGTCACCCACGGGAAGGAATAGAATGGTATACTTAGGAGTAATTGAATGCATTTCTTTCCTGAACACCGACTCCTAAGAGAGGTCCACTCTATGTGGCAGAGTCACCTCTGTCACTCCATAGCCAACTCCCCTGGCCAGATACTACTTAGGGTAGGCATGTACGGCTTAGTTCCAGTCTCAGTAGCAGGCATTCTTAGGAGAAACTTTGCAAATCATAGGCAACACACTGAAAGTCATCAAGAGGGAACAATTTTAACTAGTCCTTCCTCTTGAGAACCAGGAGAACCTTCTGAATGAAGGGATCTGTTAGGCTGACTGACCACACCAAACTGTGGGAACTGGACAGAAAAGACAGTTGGAAGATTGCTAGTAAAGAACCAAATTTAAAAAATCGGCTCTTGGTGCTTACTCCCTGTTGGAAGCAATTAGCTTCTGCTACTCTTTCTTAGACCACTTCCAGTTTGTTGACATTACTTTGAGCATTCCTTATTGTGGATGTGGCAAACACAAACAAAAATGTAATGACGAACAAAGAAAAGAATTCCAGACCCAGAAAACAGTAAGCGCTGGCTACAGGCAAGCCCATGACTTGAACAATACAATTATAATTTCCAGACCATCTTTATTCTGGAAGACATATGGTTTTCACTTATCCCTAAAATGACTTTTCCCACATCTGTAATAAACATTTGGTGACATTCCACTCCATAAATAAAGAAAAAGTGCATATTATAACTACACCATCCAAAATTGGGATTGCAGTGTCTTTGTCCAACAAGTCAAGCAAAGCAATCAGGTACCATTATTGCACTCAAGCTATATATACACAAGCTAGCGGAATTCTAATACAATTGATTAATAACTTTGGTGAGAAAATAACAGTTACTGAGCATTTGAGTGTGGAGTGAGAGAGACTTGGAAGGATGGGAAGGTCAACAATAGGCCATGTTCTAGGTCATTCAGAATCACATCACATGCAGAGACATGATTTGGTGCAGGTATGCACAAATAAGAATAATGACATAAGAGTGTTAGGGCAGAATTTCAGATGCTATTGAAAGGTGGCAAGTAGGGAAAAGGTTATTCCTCATTGTGGTATGGAAGGCAAATGTCTAGCTTGAGAGTCAGGGATAATTTACTTTGACTATTATAATTTAAATGTGTTTGGAGGTACCAGGCTCAGGGGCATAATTTATAACATCAACTGGCTGTGGCTTTCCACCAATTACAAATTACACTAAGGTACCCATGCATAGTGTCTGGATAGCCTGTCTGAATGATCTTAGACTCCATGGATTTGCTTAGCCCATTCATATGCAAGTGTTAAAGACATTCCAGGTGGATCCATATTAACAACTCGGCAGAGCTGCACAGCTGGTGTGCACCAGATGTGTCAAATGCATACAATGGAAACTGAGACATTAATACCCTCAGAATGTCAGCCTTGGGCACCAGTTTCTTTTAAAGCTGAGCATTTGTTTATACTTTTATTTATATACTGTGAATTTCTTTCCTTCCTTCATCTTTCTCCCTTCTTCCCCCCTGTCTTCTTCCCTTTCTTTGAGAAAGGGTCTTGGTGTATAAGGGTGTGTGTGTGTGTGTATTCTGGCTGGCTTAGAACTCCATATGTAGACCAGGTTCGCTCTGAACTTGGAGATCCTCCTTCCCTTGAATCCTGAGTGGTGGGATTAGAAATGTGTGTCATCAAGGCCAGCCTAGGGATTTTCTTAATGGACACAGAGTACTTAGCTTTAAGTTTGTTTTACTGGCTATATGTTTCTTGAATTCATTGTATAATTAATCTTCTGAAAGCAGCAGACACTTTACACACTTTAAAAATAGAATATAAAACTGTAAACAAAGAAAGTTAGGTCCTATGTGCCCGCCCCCAAAAGCTAATCGCATCACCAGTTAGTATTCTCTCCCAGGAGTTTGCGTCGTGCATAGGAAAGCTTGTCTATCCCTGTTCTCAATGAGAACTATCCATGAAGGATGAGTTAGAGCTGGAGCACCATTTGCTGCTCCAAACTCCCTCTGAACTGAACACTCCCTGACTGTGAGGCAGTGGTGGCACCCTGTCTTTGCCTTTTTAATTCTCAGAACACAAGAAAGAGAAATGCCTTAAATGACTGGGACAATGGGTGTATAAAACATAGCACTTCCCTGGGGCATTTTTTTCACTTTGTTTATGATGAACTGCAGCCATAGTGGCCAATGAGAAGGCACTTTTATGAAGAAAAAAAAATTTTGCTGCAAGGGGGAATTCCCTGTGAGAACCCCAGTCAACACCTCCGCTTTGCTGTGTGTGTGTGTGCCACCTGCTGCCGCTCTGCGGAGCAGTTAAACAAGTCTCATCTCCTGCTCCTGGAGGGGTGGCTCTGAACCCCAATTGCTGGTGCCACATGATATCTAATGAGCGAGTAGGTTTTTTTCCCCTACCTTAGAACACTTAGTCCCCTGTAGTCATACATTCTACATGTGGAATAAGGCAGGAGTTGTGAACATCAGGCAGACTTAGCGGCCTGAGCACCCCGAGGGGCCTGCGTGAAAGAGAATGGAACACCCTGGGAAGGTAGCCACATCCTCTTCCCATATCACCATGGAAATATGCCAGGACGACCAGGGGGTGGCACTGCCCCTCCTGCTAAGCCGAGTTCCTGGCATGGCAGGCAGAGTGAGGGCTGAGCCACTCGGCTGGTGAAATAACCCACTTCCTATGAAGGTCTCAGTCTTCACTGCAGTGGGGATGTGCCACTGAGTCTGGAGGGAAGGAGAGAAAAGTGGAAAGCGGTCCCAACTGAAGAGGTGGCCTTCGGTTTAGGAGAGATCATGGGGCTAGACAAGCCACTTGGGGACAAGCCTGGTGTTCAGACATGTCAGCTGGGCTTGTGCGTCTGGGCACACAGGAACCACAGAGAACCTGTTCATGGCAGACACGAGTGATCTGCAACAATAACGGTGTGCTCTTCTTTTGTTTAAAACCAATTAGGGGCTCGGGGAGTAAAGTGAATGGGCTGCAATGGCACAGCTGGAACACGCCTTCCCCTGCATGGTGCCATATCACTGGCCATCAAATCTGTGAAGACGCTGTCTCCTCATTTCTTCTTCTGGTGGGAGCCGGAACCCATACGGTACTGGGCCATTTCTGGTATTTCCTACAGTGAGAAGGCAAAAAAGGGAAATCACACACTGCCTATCCATCGTTCTGACATTTACAAGGCACTGTGTTCTTCTGTAGGATTCCAAGAAGAGAAAACCAGCTGTTTTGGTGTCGTCTTTATTTCAACATTAGAAAGACACATAACAAACAGATTTCAACTTTAGCTGTCAATACTAATTTTAACACAGAGTAAACATTTTTAGCGTAGTTCAGTCCATAAACTTAATTTGACTCAGTCTCAGCTTCTTGATACTCAGTCCGCACTGACTTTGTTGTTCTACCATGCTCCATGATTTCCATCATTTAACCTTCCATGTGTCTCAAGGGCTGCTTTCATTTTTTATGACCAACTCAACTGGCTGGCCTCCCCTCTCCTCCCTCTCACCTGCTGGTACTGCCAGTCTGGGTATCAGCAGCACACCTGGCTGAGACATGAGTCCTACCTCTTCGGAGGTGAAGGGCAGCACACACGATGGAGACCAGAAGCAGAGTTAACTGACCCACTGGGAGTATGACACAATGTCTCAAGCCATTAGCCTCCAACAACTCATTGGAACCTGTGTCCTTCCCCGACTCCAACACACACACTTTGCTAGCTGACACACAACACTACAAGCACAGTCGATACAGGTCACATGACTGAGAGGGAGGCTCTTCAGACTCCAGCCATACTTGGAATACAGGCTGCGAGAGCCTACACACATCAGTTGGTATGTGCACGCATGTTCTGAAAGACACACATGGTCCTTGATCTTAAACCTCAGGAAGGAACTTTTATACCCTCCATTGGACACAGGTAAGAAGGTGCCACCAAAGTGCCATGCTTTTTCACTCCTGGATCTGCAAGACCTACTAACTGGCTATGAATCTTTTTCTCATCACCTATATCATCTCAAAGTTTTCCCCTAATACGAACTTTTTAGTGGTCAGCCATTCTCTGTTAATTGTCCTCATTCAATAGCTGCTATGTTCCGCCAGACAGTGATGGCATCTGTGTGCACCTCTGCTCCCTACTACCAGGGACAGAAGCTTTTGAGGTGTTGGGGACATCTTTGATACTTCTCACCTCTTGTGCCCTGGATCAGTCCTAAATACATAGCTGCTGTCAAATAAGTAGGGTCTTAACAGCACGTGCTTATGACTTTCAGAGGGATCTGTTATGGCTAGACATCATCCATCACAACTCAGGGCTGACATGGCTGATTCAGGGAGCAAAGGCTTTAGACTCACTGGCCAGATGGCAGGGTGAGAAGGACAATTGCTTCCTCTGAACGAAAGCAAGTGGGCATGCAATCAATCTTTGGGCATGTGATCCTTCTTGCTCATTCTCCACAAATAAGTTTTTTTCCAAAGACATTTACCATTTATGTTCATACTGACAAAGCAGGTAACTATCACAACTATTGTGAAGTATCAGAGAAATTGATTTCTGAAATCAGGGGTTGAAGAGTCAATTCAATTCATGACTGGAATTTTAGTTGTTAAAGAGAAGTTCACAAAAGGAAGTCAAGACACTAGTGATTTTGTGTCTGTATTGTTCCAGAGATCCCAATACATACTTCTAATGGTCCTCTCCTATTGTGACACTAGGACAATGACCTCTTAAGCCTGTGGATTACTTCTTGACTTGACCAGTCAAATTGAGTAGGAAAGGCTATGTGCCCATAGTCATCCCTGATAATGAACCTTTACTTCATGGCCTTTTCATACAGCAAAACATATGTCACTGTCTTAACCTAGATCAAAGATAATAGAGAATAAATACACTTAAGAACTTCCACCATAAACAGTTTATGAATCTTCAAGTTTCAAAGTTTCTCAGGGTACAGTTTTGCCGTCTTTATAAGGAATTTGTCTTTGCTCAGAATGGTGCATTTTTGAAATGGCAAATACATGAATCAAATCAACACTAGTTTATTGCCTAAAATTGCTTTATGTAATCAGATCCAAATCCTACTTTGCTGTTTATGGCTGCTTTTTAACAAGGAGTTCTTAATTGCACTTATGAACACAGGCCAATCAATCTTTGACAGCGCACTGCAGATGGGCAAGGACTCAATTAGAATGAGCTGTGGGGAGAATCAGGAGCAGCTTCAACGTGGCAAAGCTGCCACCAGGCCACAGGCCACAAACCCGTGCAAGTGGAAAGTCCTCAGACTCTTCAAGGAAACCAGTGTTCTCTGTTATACTTCTATGGGAGGATCCATAATTGCCTTTGGGAGGACTATCGTTGCCATGATGGAAAGAAGAGCAAAGAGGGGGCAGAGGGTGAGGGTGCTCTCCCCTCCCTTCTCCTCCTCCCCTCTCTTCCCCTCTCCCTCCTCTCCCTAGACCCATTTGCAGGGCATTCAAGGATAACCAAGGCTTAGCCAACAGAAGAAATGCCACATGCTGAAGAGAGGATTCCCAACCATATCTACTCAGTGGTATGAAAGTCACTCCATTTATAGGGCCAATTAAAAGACAGCAACATGTTAGCAAGACAGCTCAGGTCACTTGGCCAGTACAGAAGGGAACCATCCTGGAGCCAATGTTTTCTGACCTCTTACAACCTACCCAACTGCCATCACTTCTGAACCATTGAACAAGTTAAACCCCATGCCTTCTCACCATGTCTGACCTGCTTCTCTTCATGGATATGTGGACTCACCGCTATGTGAACACAGAAGACCAGGTAAGTCCAGTCTAAGCCCACAACTCTCATGAGCCTTAGCTAATATCAAAGATACAGGTCTATAATACCACCTCGTGTTTCACTGAATTCCCATGCAAACCAGAGTAGTTTGGTTTTCTAAGAACACCACAGTGCTACAGTTTCTATCAGCACTGCAGCATCAATTCAGGCCTTATGTTCTGTGTATTTTTACAAATCCTTCAAACTCAGTTTCTGGTAACAGCAAAGCTACCCTCCTATCTGAATTGCCTATTTCAGGATCCAAACACTATCCCACTCCTGATCCTACTTACTTTTTAAGCAATTTTCAATTGTAAATAAATCTCTGATATTCTGAAAGGAATTCTTAAGTCAGGTGTCAGTCAGTCATCCCCCTGCTGCTTGCTGTGTATGCACTGTGGGTCAGTATGGTGCCGGGACAAGGCTCTGGTCACTCTGGCATCTAGTTCCTTCCTTTGCATTGATTTTAAAGCACATTTCTGTGTTTTCCACCCACCTGCATCATCTATGACTGTTCTCTCTCTGTTCAGGGTCCTGCGGACATGTTTCAAAGCATCTCAATCTCTGATATAAGCTCACATTTCTTAGGGATACAGCATAGGGCCTGGGCCAGCTTCATGTGAGTGGAAGATGTCTCCAATTTTATAAAGGAAACATGATATTAGAGATTCAGAGATGGTTGCCTGGGATGTCTGTCTGGGATTCGTGGACATGCCTCACATAAGACACTTCACGAAGCAGGCCCTGGTTGGTTCCTGTGTGAAGAGCTGCTGACCAAGGGGGCTGCTGGCCTTCTACTGTTCAGGAGGGTAACAGCCTGAAGAGATCCTTTCTCTTTCATTGATTGCAGCTGTTCTCAACATGAGGGTCGTGAATTGCATATCAGATTATCATGCATATCAGATATTTACACTACAATTCATAATAGTAGCAAACATGCAGTTAAGAAGTAGTAACAAAGTCATCTTAGCACAGCACAAGGAGCTGTGTTAAAGGGGTCACAGGGTCAGGAAGGTTGATGGAGAACCGGTGGTTTACAGCTATATGTCTTGAGAGCTACATAAGCTTCCCTTACATTGGTCTTAGTTTGGGTTGGTGAGGGTGGCTCCCCAACGAGACTGTTCATATATATATATATATATATATATATATATATATATATATATGTCTCACTTAGCAGCATGTAATAACCACCTGTTACATCCCCAGTGCCATCAGAAATCATATTGAATATTTGTGTTCGAAGAGAACTAATGCCATAAGATATGCACAAAATGAAATCTCAAGATTAGTTAACTTTTAAAGAAAAACATATTAACTTATCCTTAAGTGCATTGATGTCTTGCCTGCATGCATGCCTGTGCAAGAGTGGGAGATCCTCCAGAACTGCAGTTATAGATAAGTTATAGATAAGTTGGTAGCTTTCATGAGGGTGTTGGGAATTGAACCTGGGTCCTCTGGATGACCAGCCAAAACTGTTGAGCCATCTGTCCATTCCCAATTAGTAACTTCTTAATGAAAGAGTCCAGTTATGTTTGTGGGTACTTTTAGCAGTGATTTGCAGCTGTATGGAGTTGTCACCTACTAAAACCTTGCTTTCTAAGAAATGGATAGCACAAGATAATTAACATATTTCAGTGGGCAGTACATTTTTTGTAACACGGAGGAGCCTTTGGACTGTTGGGAAAGTCCAAGTGTCCAGTACGGACCTTTTTTCCATTTAGTTAAACCACACACTGACCACTTACAGGCCTGGATGAAATGGCTCTGAATACTAGAGGCTGGCAATGAACATTAGTATTTATGAGACTCACCCCATGTCCCTGTAAATAGAGGTCAGACCCCAATCTTACTCAAAGAAACAGTAGGCACGCTTCATAGGGCCTCAGGAACACTCGCAGTTTAAGATGACTTAGCTCGATCACAGCCCCAGTAGTGAGCTCATACGATTTATTGATTTGTGGTTCTTGATGGAAAAATTTCAGTTTTCCTCCCTTATGTATAATGCAGTAACCTGTATATTTTATGGCTAAAGGAAGGGAAGCAATTTTCTCCAGATAAGAATTGCTGAAGAGGGCTGAGAGATGACGGCCATTCTCCTATTATTTACCACTGGTGTAGACAGGGATGCTTAGTTTGTGGGCGTGCACAGATCTGCACATGAGCCAAGCACTCAGGCCATTCTACTGTGAAGTCATGGGATGGGATCAGGAGGGCTGGACAGGAAAAAGGGGCTGAGGGGTAGAAACTAAATAAACCGCTGGCAGTCTGTGGTATATCTGCCGAGGAACAAGGGCAGCAGCATGGTCCCCTGTGCTCTC